TGGGGGGGATGGAGGGGAGAGGGGAGCCGTTACCATTGAGTAAGCGCTGGTCCACCTCGGTGCGCAAGGCAGAGCGGGTCCCCATGCTGCGGAAGATGCCAGGATCACGGCCCAAGAAATCTGCAGTGAGGCCGGTGTACAGCTCCCCGCCTGGCAAAAACACCCCGCCATGGGGCTGAGAGCCAGTCCTGGGTCCCGGGGGCACCCCGAAAGCTCTCAGATCCCCGAGGAAGACAACCCACCGATGATGGTGCTGGCAAAAGAGCGGCTGGTCGTGCGGGCACCTGCCCCTGCCGGTCTCCACACTGGCGGGGTCCAGGCTGAAGGTGTGCTGGGCAAAGGGGAACAAGCGGGTGAGCCCCTACCATGCCCCCGTGGTGGGGCTGTGCAGGGCACACCGAGGCTGAGGCTCTTCCCTGCCAAACTTGCAGGCTCCTCGAAAGCATCCAGCACTTCCCAAAGGGACTGTCTAGAAGCGGGATCCGTGCTTTTTGAGACAAGGCCGAGGAGGGGCAGCAGCTGGAGGGACCCAACAGCCCCACTGCTTGCCCATCAGCCTGGCCAGAGGTGTCGTGGTACGGGGAGGGCTCCTGCTGCCCGCATGGTGCCGGGCTGTGGAGGGGAACAGGAGGCCCTGCCTTCCCACCCTAGCCAACCTGATTTATGAGCAGTGAGCTGGGAGAGGAGGAAATGCCACCAATACCACAGCCCCTGGCAAGACACCAGACCCAGGGGACACGTCTGGAAAGGTGGTTCCAGGCCAGAAAGGTGAAAGAGGGGGTAGCACATGAGCAAAGGGGCAATAGGGAACTGGTTCTTGCCCCCTGCCCCTCAGTACTCAGCATGGGGCAAACACCACACCCAGCATTCCCACACCATCCCAAACCCCTCCAGGAAGGAGGCAGACATTGAGGATCTACCTCCCAGGAGTGTCTTGCCAGGGATGCTCGGGATGGGCACCCCACTGCGGTTCTGCCCTACCTCACCACGGTGCCCCACGTAGACAAAGGCGCAGACAGGGTGGAAGGCGCCTGTCCCACAGGCCAGCAAATGAGTCCGGTTGTAGGGGTGAAGTACTCGGATGTAGTTGGCGCAGTCGGTCTGGGGGGACGGCAGGGGAGGGCAAGGGTCATGGAGGGCTCAGTGCTCTGCCCACCCCGAGCTCCCTGTGTCTGCCTGGAGCCCTGCAATGGTGGGTGAGCCCCAGCCCTGACTCCTTGTGCTGCATCCAGGCTCTCTGCCCTTACCCTCGTGTGAGATGACAGCTTGCACCCACTGACAGGGCTTGCACAGACTTCATCTGTGTGGACCCCAGCCCATTGCAAAAGGTCAGGGTTTTTTACTGGTTGTCCTGCTCCCGAGAGCATCCCCAGGGGAACCACACATGACCCAGCTGGCTCCTGGGCATCTCCTGCCCACCAAGCAGCCCACGCCAGGTGGGGGAGCAAGGTCACCTGTCAGCAAGCTCCTGGCTGCAGCTCCGGCACCCAGCCCCAAACCCCTGGGAACCCTCCTCTTCCCAGCGCCCAGGACGTGACCAGATGCAGGGACATCCTTCCCTGTCATGTTCCTGCTCGAGCCAGGGATGAAACAAAAGGAGGAAATGCGGGAGACGGAGACGGATACCCACAAGCATCCCTGTCTGCCTCCAGGACAGCCCTGATTGCTTCTGTCTGGGATTGTCCCCTTCTACCAGGGACCAGTAGCAATGACACCCCCAGCATCTCAGACCTGCTGCCTCTGACCTTGCACAGTTTCTTCTGGTAGTTCTCACGGGAGAAGGTCTCCCGACTTTCTCC